ATGCATGAGCCCTTTAACTTTGTGTCTAGCAAGAAAGTCAGTTTCTGAAAACAAGGAGCATTTTATTCTGCTAAACATGTGGTTAAGGGAATGGGGACATTTATATTTCTCTGTTCATTTCTCGGATAGATTTTTTTCTTGTTGTTGTTTTTCTCTTTTACTTTCACTTTTTGTGTTTGGATAACTTCTCAATAATCACCCTTTTGTGTCATAGGTAGAGGAGGTCAGTCAGCCTTGCGTTTTGCCCGTTTAAGAATGGAAAAACGACATAACTATGTTCGGAAAGTAGCAGAGACTGCTGTGCAGCTGTTTATTTCTGGGGACAAAGTGAATGTGGCTGGTCTCGTTTTAGCTGGATCAGCTGACTTTAAAACTGAACTAAGTCAATCTGATATGTTTGATCAGGTAAGTGAGAAATAGATGGATCAATTTTTATGTAAGTCTCTAAGTGGGAATAGGTAAGTCCTCTGTATTTACCCTGGGACATGCATATCTTTTTGAATTTACATAAATATTTCCCTGACTTTAAAAAACCTTGCTATGAGAGCTAGAGGTATAGCTCAGTGGTAGAGTGCTTGCCTAGCATGCATGAGGCCCTAGGTTCAATCTTGTAGCACTGCAAAGGAAAGAAAAAGAAAAAACTTAGCTCTGAATTAAACAGTAACAGGTTTATAGGCATTTAGTTTAAAATGCCTCATTCTTTTCTGGATACTTTCTCTGTTGAAATCATTTTTAGGCAGGTTGCCATAATTAGCTTTAAAATGGTTTGATTTCAGAGAAACTAGCAGCTCTTTTTTTTTTTTTCCTGAGTTATAACTGCAATTAAATCAAGTAGTGAAATTCAGCTGTATGACAGGCAGAATTTTAAGACCAAAGCATTGCCAGGTCCTAGCAGCTCCAGAGGCTGAGGCAAGAGGATCTTGAGTTCAAAGCCAGCCTCAATAACTTAGTAAAGCCCTGGGCAACTCAGCAAGACCCTGTCTCTAAATAAAATACAAAAAGAGGGGGGGGGTGGATATGGCCCAGTGTTTGAGTGCCCTGGATTCAATGCCTGGTACCCCCAAAAAAGGATCAAAGCATTTAAATTCAGAGGATCTTTTGGTTTGTGATAGGGGTTCAGAAGTGAGAGCTGGGGGTGGGGCTGAGGCTCAGTGTTGCTTGCAACTTAAAAATTTTTCTTCCTTTTTTTTTTTTTTTTTTTATTTAAGTGAAAGAGCTAGCAAGGCACAGTGGTACATGCCTGTGAGGAGACTGAGGCAGGAGGATAGGAAGTTCAAAGCCAGTTTCAGAAACTTAGCAAGGCCCTAAGCAGTTTTGCAAGACCTGTCTCAAAATAAAAAGGGCTAGGAATGTGGCTGAGAGGTTGAACACCTCTGGGTATTTTGAAGTGCTAATGTTTTTGTTTTTGTTTTTAATTGTATCAGAGGTTGCAATCAAAAGTTTTAAAATTAGTTGATATATCCTATGGTGGTGAAAATGGATTCAACCAAGCTATTGAGTTATCTACTGAAGTCCTCTCCAACGTGAAATTCATTCAAGAGAAGAAATTAATAGGTATCAATGAAATGCAACTATTTTGCTCATTATATTTGTGTGTAAATGTAGGTACGTACATAACTGTATGTATGAAAAGGCACTGAAAATATAGAAGATTTACCATTTTCATAAAATTTTCTGCCTTCATGGAATCATTTTTAATCTTCCTTAGTTAGGTCTAATAAGTGTTTGTAGCTACAAGAGAAAATGTAATATATAATCATCCCTGAGTATCTGCAGAAGATTCACAATCTTGAATCTTCTTGAATATACAAGTCCTTTATATAAAATGTGGTTTAGTATTTGCATATAATCTACACACATCCTCCTGTATACTTTAAATTATCTCTAGATTATTATGTATAATAACCACTACAACATAAATACTATGTAAATAATTGTTATGCTATATATTGTTTAAGGAACAATGTCAAGAAAAGGTGTATGTGTTCAGTACAGATGCATCCATCATAGACCTAAGTACATAATACACATAAGCAAATGTAACTTTTTTCCTGAATATTTTTGATCTGAAGTTCATTGAATTTGTGGATAGTCAGCCAACTGTATGTTTTATTGTCTTGTCTCTAATCCACAGGACGATACTTTGATGAAATTAGTCAGGACACAGGCAAGTACTGCTTTGGTGTTGAAGATACATTAAAGGCTTTGGAAATGGGCGCTGTAGAGATTCTAATAGTCTATGAAAATCTGGATATAATGAGATATGTTCTTCATTGCCAAGGCACAGAAGGTAAGAAAACTAGAAAATAAGATTCTTATTTGTTACTTTCTTGTGTATGCTGGAAATCTGGGGTGGGCATTTGGGGACATGTGGCTGATTTCAGAAGCAACCAGAAGGCAGTTGTATGTACCACTCTCTTTTGGTTGTTTGATATGTCTTTATGGTAGAAGTAGTGTACCTGGTAGATGCTGAGTGCATGCTAAACTCTGTAGGAAAGGAGGTTAATACAATGAGTCCAGGAGACGTTTTCTCATCTAATGTCACAGGGCTCATACCTATTAATACATGAGAGCCAGATTAACAAGTTCTTTTTGTTGTTGTTGTTGTTTCATTTTAAACTACAGAGGAGAAAATTCTCTATTTAACTCCAGAACAAGAAAAGGATAAATCTCATTTCACAGACAAAGAGGTATGTGATTATTTTCTTTGGTGGTAAACGCAAGGAAGCACAGACTCTCAGCCTTGGGAGACCAAACCTCATACTAGTTAGGGAGTCAGCAGGAAGGGGTCAGCTTCTATTTGCCATGCACTGATCTGATTCCAAGGAAGGGGGCCTAGGAATGGTTACTGCAGATCTTTTTAAGTAATTAAGCAGTCAGGAAAACATTGTTGTTATCCTTGAAATAATTTGAATAGTTTCTGCTATCTGTGAACCTATACTGCTTTCTTTGCTTTTATCAGTTCTTCCACTGCAGTGGCTTCTCTGCATTTGATGTAAATGTATACCAGTTTAAAATTCTATGAGTTGGAGGACTTGGGCCTTTATGAAGCTGCTCCCAAAAGCATTTGTGGCATGCTTCTTCTGGGGTGTGAATGAGTGAGCAACAGCATGACTTCTGGAATCAACAGTAGGAATCATAAGTTGAAGAATTTGTTAATGTTTCATTAAAGGGTAGAGCCTGAGAAGTATTAAAGTATAAAGTAATCAGAATTTCTCTGCTATTTCAGTTCTGTTACCAGAAACCAGAATTCACTTTATTTTACACACATTTTATACATATGCATAATGAGTAGGAGAATTAGAGTGGTGGAAAGAGGGATTGAGAGGGTTAAGATGAACTTCATTGTGTATAATGTTTTTGTTTCTCATGGTCGCATCTATAGACGGGGCAGGAACATGAGCTGATTGAGAGCATGCCCCTTTTGGAATGGTTTGCTAACAACTATAAAAAATTTGGAGCTACATTGGAAATTGTCACAGATAAGTCACAAGAAGGATCCCAATTTGTGAAAGGATTTGGTGGAATTGGAGGTGAGTAGCAAATCAGCAAATATAACTTAAAACAAGGGTTTCAGGCCAGGGCCTCTCCTGGATTAAGTAATTTCAGGTAAAGTGTACTCATGGTCTACTTGAGGCAGGTGGCTACACAACTTGATTTGGATTTTTTTCCCCTCTCCATTACTGGGGAATGAACCAAGGGGTTCACACAGCCCTTTTTATTTTATTTTGAGATGAAGTTTAAGTTATCAATGCAGGTTTCAAACTTGGCAGTCCTTCCTCAGCCTCCCAAGTCAATAGGAATACAGGTGTGCACCACCACACCCAGCTGGAACAATTTTAATCAGTCACTCTTTGCTTTCTAGAATTCTGCAAATGAATGGACTACCCTTATAGAGCAACCCCTCCCTATTCCATGAACATTGGTACTTACCCTTTGATTTTTTTCTCTAGGTATCTTGCGGTACCGAGTAGATTTCCAGGGAATGGAATACCAAGGAGGAGACGATGAATTTTTTGACCTTGATGACTACTAGGTAGTCGACATGGGTCCGGCAAAATGTGCCTCACCCTCCAGCATCCAACCCAAGGAGCATACCCGTGGTGGAATCCAAACAGATCCCTGCCTTACAATTGGAACATTTCCAGAACTTAATCCATGAGCATTGGATACTGAAAAGAAAACCGAAACAAAACCAGACCCAACCCTGTACATTGGTTTGTCATGGTGTCAGCGCAGCAGCCTGCAACTAAGTTCCTAAATGCCACTTTGGACTAATTTAAAAAGAATCCCAGTTTTTACTTTTACTTGATGGTGAAATTGGTTGCTCTTGTATTTTATGAAAAAAAAAATGATTTTTTTAACCTTCATACATAGAAGCAAAATACTTTAACTGCTGTAAACCTTCAAAAGTTAATAGAAGCGAGATCATACTGGTTTGTTTCTTATTTTGATTGGAGAAAAATTAAAATTGCTGCATTTCGCAGTGACCCATTTACATGGCATTCTCAGCTTAGACTGCATAAGAAGAAATACATGTGGTGAAATGTTGGAACCATTTCTCTCTTGGTCTCTGTTTAATGTTGAAAGGGTGAGCTAATAGGAGGCAGTTTCAACCTCACTCCCACACACCCCTTCCCCAAACTGTCAGTTTCAAGGATGCAGATTGCATTGTAAAGTCAAACTGACTCATGAAGCATTGAGGCCAGTGCACTGTTTACTTTCATCTGTTTGGCAGACACATTTGTGCCCGATGTTTGGGAGCCCTTTGTATCATTTACTTTAACAAGGGTCCCCATAAACCTAGCCTACTAGAAATCAGTTTGGGATGGATATGGTTGGGCTTCTGTGCTATTTGCTGGGATTGGGAGAAATAAAACAAACAATTTTAGTGGAAGCAAAGAAATTTAAAGATTATTTTATTTTGCTTGGGTCTACCCTTGGTAAAAAGGGAGGTGGTCGTGTTTCCTTGTGTTGGGTGGCATGAGATTATGTGAATGTTTTGATTTTTTTTTTTTTTTTTTTTAATGAAATGCAAGATTTTTCACCGGGACGACAGACAAGACATGTATGATTGCATGGAATTATAAACCCTTGGTGGGGTTTGAGCATCTGTTTCAAATGTGGGACTTAAAAGCACCTCTCAGATGAGAAATTATGGGAGGAGGGTGGGAAGGGAAGGGGTGGGAAGGGATGGGACACAGCTTCTGGCACGATGGACTAAACCATGTTGGATCTAAAAAGTTGGCCTGAAAACCTGAAGCTTATGCTTCATAGCTAGGCTATAAGGTGGACTAGAACCCAGCCCATGCAAGTCATGGCGTGCTCGATGTGGTGACAGTGAACAAAGTGTATAGGATGTGCCCAGTGCTAGCAATGAGAAAGTGTATACCGAATGGACTTTGAAGGACCAAAGGTTTTTTAAGTCAATTGGTATCACCACCACCCCAGTGACTAGGGTAGTGGGGTGCATTTGGTTTTCAAATTGGGTACTTTCAACACTTAGTGCCTGACTGCTGTTCTTCACTGACTTGATTCAGTCACTCGTAGCTTTATTGGTCTGAACCAACTCTTTGTTCCCAGGTTACAGACCTGCCTATCGTTCCAATAATCCTGTTTCACTTGAATGAAGGGAGTATGTCTTAAATGTAAAGCTTCTGGTACTCACACTGTGCTCTGAGGTCCAAATAACTGTCTGTCAATGTATAACCTGATGTCTCAACCCCCAGTGAGAAGAGTCAATTCTTTGGTGTTCACCGATGTGGGAGGCTTCACCGGAACAGGCTTTTGCTTTGGGCTCTGCTGTTTGTTTGCAGAACACCCAAGAGCAAGTAAACATGCTCTCTTCACAGCAGTACCTTAGGGTTTTGCCATTGTAAATGGGTCTAATGTGATATGATAAGACCAGAGAAATTGGATGTAAATTTACATTTTTGAATATGCTTGTTGTTTCACATGATACATTTAGGGTATGCAGCTCCTTTTGTAGTTTTTATTTTTACTATTTAAGTTTGGAAATGATGCCAAATTTTTGTATTTCTTTAATCAATGTGTTCTCTTCGGTGATATATATTGCATTATATATTGATGTGTGTATCAATATATACTGGTATGTATTACACTTACACATGCAAACACATAAATAAGAGGGGGTGAAAAACGTAGCCTTTGCATTCTCTATAGCCTCTGCAGAGAGATCTAAGCAGCGAAATCTTGGTGTTGTGATGTACAGAAATGGAGAAGAGTATTAAACCATATTTAAGAATATACTTTGTGTGCTTGAGATTTTTTAGGACTGTTTCCTAGAAAAGTCTGAACTTTAGAGACAGTATGAGAGGTCTTTGAAGTTTATGTCAGATTAGTCATAGCTGATAAATTTGCAGCCTTAGACTTTAGTTTCTTCGCTACATTGGCCTGTGCAAAGGTATATTCAAAGGAATGTCTGGGGGTCATGATCCCAAGGTTATATTGGAGGAAAGAGATTCAAGTTGATAAGGCCAAACTATTAACAGGTGATAAAAGTAGGGAGTATGGCTCAGTGATAGGGCACTTGACTAGCAAACATGAAGCTTTAAATGCCCATCATCTCAGCACTGCAAAAAAAGGGGGGGGGGGGGGGAAAAATGGACCAAGAGGTTTTAATAGTGATAAAGTAAAAAAATTTATCCCAATTACAAAGTTGATTCTGCTTGCCTTTGAGTCCTATAATAGAACATCTCTGATAAAAACAGAAACTAGGCCTGAGCCTTTTCCTACTGCTTTCCCCTATCTTGAATACCTTGCTGTAGGTAGGAGAATAACAAGACCATCCAAGAGCAAGTTGGGCTGGCCCAGTAGAGCAAAGCTTCTAGACCAGGTTAGAAGAGGATTTCTTTTCCTTCCCCAGAGTTCAAGCTGCTTGGAGCCTCTCCTGTTTGGTAGTTTAGGATGCCTGCCTAGTTGAGGAATCAAGATGGTGCATGGTTTACTTTCTCCAGATTTGAGATAAACTGCCATTACTGGTCAGTTTAACATTTTTTCTGTCACTTCTCTTTCAGCATACTGCCACCCATTTTCTCATTTGATCCATAAAATCCCCTGATGAAACTAGTCACTCTGAGAAGAAGGCCGGCATGCCTGTGCAAGTAGTTTTCCTTCTAATTCATCTTTTGGTGATGTTCTTGAAGCCAAATTGTTGGAAGGCAGCACAGTAGTGCCAGCCGGATGTGTGGGCTGCAGTGCTCACCTGTCTTGGCCTGCAGCTCTTGCCATCTTTTGTTCCCTGGCTCTAATTCCCATACCATGCACTCCTAGACAGGCCAAGTAGATTCAGGGCTGAATGCCAAGGTGGAATTAAAGCCTCATGCCAGCTTCTCCCTTGTTGCCAAGTTGAATGCGTGCCATCTGAGACTTCTAGCTTCCAAGCCCCATCCTGATGGGACTGTGCCTAAAGAGACCTAGGAACTGACTCCAGCCAAAGGGTGTGGAACTGATACTAGAGCCAGTGAAATAGGGCCAGTTATGTGCTCATTTTGTAGGTGTTTTGGTGCCTTAAGTTGCTGAGGATGTGACTGAACAGAGGGTATAGGTGCAAACAGTTTCAGGTTGAGCCATCTTCAACAAAACTTCCCTGAACTTGCGTGGCAGGTTCAGTTAAGAGGCCAGAATAAAGCCCTTTTTCTGGCTCTGCCATTAGCTAGACTTCTGACTTCAAACAAGTCCCTTCCTGTCCAGATTCCCTCTCACTATAAGGCAGGTCCTAAATCTGAAGTGCTTTTCCAGCTGTGAAACTTATCAGGCTAGCATGGTGTGGAGCAGGAGTTTCACATCTCATAGGAATAGACATCCTGACTCTCCAGGAGATAGGGACATGGGATAATTTGCCAAAGATTCAATTTTTCTACCTGTAGTAATGCTGCCTTGATAAGCATTAAATAGACAAAGACATATGAAGTCCATGGTACAGTGCTTGGCAACTTAGCTAGGGTTCAGATGAGAGCCTTGGTGAATGCTTTGTTTCCAACTTGTAGACTTAAAGTGGTGAGAGTGAGTTTGTGCTGGTGGCCACAAGATGGTGCTAGACCACAATGGCAGTGGAAGAATTTTGCTTCATCTGAAGGGGAGCAGATTTCTAACAAGTTCTAAAAGGTGCCTGGGACAGCTTGCTTTGCCCTTAAATTTTGGAGAAATGGAGAGGGCAGTCTACTAAAGAAAGCAAGGATGAGGGAACAGAGAGGAGCACTTAGGAGTCTCACTGAGTCTGCTCAGTTTTCTTAGCACTCTGCAATCTGGGTTTTGAATTATCCATCTGTAAAATAACTACAGTCAGGGGCTGGGGATATAACTCACTGGTAGAGTGTTTGCCTTGCATGCATAAGGCCCTGGGTTCAATCCCAGCACCAAAATAGATAGACAGATACATAGATAGATAGATAGATAGATAGAGTCAATGACATTTGTTGAAAAGTTATGTAATTTTCTTTTTTAAAAAATGTTGTTAAAAAGGGGTTTTAAGCTGGGTGTGGTGGCACATGCCTGTTACCCAGCAACTTGGGAAGCTGAGGCAGGATTGCAAGTTTGAGACTAGTCTCAGCAATTTAGCGAGACCATAAGCAACTTAGAAGACCCTGTCTCAAAATAAAAAGAGCTGGGGATGTGGCTGTGATAAAGCATTCCTGGGTTCAATCCTCAATACCACAAAAGGGTGGGGAGGGTAAAACATTAATTTCTGGTGCTGCTGGGGACCAAACCCAGAGCCATATACATCCTAAGCATGCATTCTACCCCTGATCTACAATCCCAACCCCTTTCATTTTATTATTATTTTTGCAATACTGGGGATTGAACCCAGGTGTGCTCTGCCACTAGATTACATCCCAGCCCTTTTTATGAGATAGTCTCTCACTAAGTTGTCCAGGCTGGCCCTCAATTTTTTGATCATGCTGCCTCAGTCTCCTAAACCACTGAGGGTTAAAAGCATGTACCACTGTATCACTACCACCTGCATTTTTTTGTTTGTTTGTTTGTTTGTTTACCTTTTTAACAGATGAGGTCTTGCTACACTGCTACATTGCCTGGGCTGGGCTCAAGTTCGTGGGCTCAAGCAGTTCTGTCTTCAGCACCCCGGCCAGCACGGAGTACCAGCAGGCACTACCCTGCCTGACTTGTCCCTGCTCTTAAAATTATGTCATTAATAGGACAATTAACAAAATTGAAATGTAGTCAGGCATGATGACACACACATATAATCCCAATGAGACAGGAGGATCACAAGTTCAAAGCCAGCCTCAACAGTTTAGCAAGAACCTCAGCAACTTAGCAAGATCTTGTCTCAATACGAAAAAATAGTAATAATTGACTGTGGCTGTGGCTCAGTGGTTAAGTGTCTCTGGGTCCAATCCCCAGTACCAAAAAATGAAAACAAAACCTGACGTGGACTATAGAAAAAAGTATCAATGTTAAAGCTCCTAAATTTAAAAACTTCTGTGGTTATATATTATTTATTTCCTTAGGAAATATATATTAATGTATCAAGAAGCTTAAAATAAGACATCCATTAAGGAAATTTTTGAAATATCAGAAATAAAGAAAAACAGCATCATTCCATTGTCTTTAACAGTTTAGGATCATTAATGAACACCCATTATAGAACAATGTGTAGTTTGGGGTTTGTAAATGGTTCACAAGTTACTTGACACTTTCATTTGCTTCTTCATGAGTCAACCAGTGGGCCTGGAGGATGAGACTTGGGAGTTGGGGCCAAGGCTGGAAGGGAGCAGGGGCAGGACCAATAAAGGAGATCATCCATCCAGATTTGGAGTTGTAACATCAGGTGCTCATGTTCTATGTGCCTTGGTGATAGAATCGGCCTTGAGGTTGGTCCAGAGCTGGGTGGGGAGATGGGGTACTGTGAAATACAAGGGCTAACTGGGCAAGGGTTGACCCTTAGCTAGGTGATGGGAAGGCAAAGCTATACCTGGAAACAGCCCATTCTCAGAAAGGACAAGAATCTCTTTAAGAATCTGTCTACACTACACCCTTCTATAGTTCTTCTCTGTGGTACCCTAACACTTTTATTCCTTAAGAAATCGTCATTTTAATACTGGAAAGAGCCTTGGACTTCATCCTCATCCCCTTGTTGAAGAGAGAAGAAAACTGAAGTCCAGAGAGCAACAGAATGAATGGCCTGTTGGCCCATTCAGCAAATTAGCAGAGCCAACATGAGCACCTGATGTTACAACTCCAAATCTGGATGGATGATCTTGTTACTCTTCTAAGCCCCATTCTCTCCAGATATAGAAAAGGGAGGATCAGAGGGAGCAAGTGAATGGATAACACCAAAGTCAGTGCGGGGAGGGTAAAGGTGGCTAACATCTAGGTGGGGTTATGAAATCTATTTTGAAGTCACTTCCCTGAGTCAGGGTTGGCTTGACTATACATTAACTTGATTCTTCAGTCCCCAGGTTTCTAAAATAGCTCAACCTAAGTTTCCCCAACTGCCAGGTTCCCAGCACCCTTTTCCACTCTGCTAAGATACCTTACCTGGTCTCAGGCTCTCCAACCCACTCTATGTCCTAGGGATTGAACCCAGAGAAAGTTTTAAGCTAGAGAGGCAAGATGCTCCTAAATTACAGGCAAAGCTGCAGATCTGCTGCTGCCTGGGAAAGAGGTAGGCTGGAAAATGCAGAGGAATCAAGGCTTGATGACGGGACACCTGCCCCATATTAATGGCTTTCCAGACCTAAATAAGTCCCCAGCTTAGGCTCTCTAGGGGGACAAGATGAGCCACCTGGAAGGCCTACACAATGGGTTCTGTAAGAAGATAGGAGTTGCATAAAGAGGCGGCCATAAAGATACTCATAGTAAAGTTGCATTCTGGGACTAGGTATGTGGTTCAGTGATAACAGCACTAGCCTAGCATGCCCAAGGACCCGAGTTCCATATGCAACGTCAGAAAAAAAAAAAAAAATGCATACTTGTGCTCCTTGCTCCAATTCAACTCCGAAGTAGCATGGTAATTCTGCTTCTCTCTGGGGAGCTGAGCAAAGACCTTCAGAAACTGTTTCCTCCAGCCTTCTGTTAGTGGCAGTCAAGTCAGGGAACCTGCCTGGATCCTAGCTGGCCAAATTTGATCAAACTGCATAAAATCAATTTTCCCTTTGTATACCATTTACCTATTTTCTTTTTTTTTAATACTTAACTTATTTTTAGTTGTAGTTGGACACAATACCTTTATTTTATTTATTATGTGGTACTGAGGTTCAAACCCAGGGCCTCACACGTGCTAGGCAAGCACTGTACCCCTGAGCCACAGCCCCAGTCCCTCATTTGCCTATTTCTTATGTGGATAGGTGGTCTAATCCAGGCAGTTGAGATCCAGGCATGCTCCCTGTCTAAACTGCTAGTAACACATCTATCCCACAAACATACCTCACTGCTACCGCTACTTAAATTGGACTTGGACTTGTTTTTTGTTTGTTTCTGTTTGTTTTTGGCCCTAGAGATTGAACCCAGGGTGCTATATCCCCAGCCCTTTATTTTTTGACAAGGTTTTCCTAAGTTGCTGTGGGTCTCACTGAATTGCTAAGGCTGGCCTTGAACTTGTAATGTGTGTTTTTGTTTCTTTTCTGCGAGGCAAGTTTGGGGGGGAACCTGAACCCAGAACCTCATGCATGTCAGGCAAGGGCTGTACTCACTGAGCCACATATATCCCCAGGCCTGGCCTCAAATTTGTGAACCTCCTGCCTAATCCTCTCAAATAATAATTTTTTTAAATACATATGTTGGGTTGGGGTTGTGGCTCAGTGGTAGTGTGTTTGCCTTTTACGTGTGAGGCACTGGGTTCAATTCTCGGCACCACATATAAATAAATAAAAATAAAGATTAAGTACATTTGTTATTGCATGTTTGTTCATTTTTATTGTTAGGTAGTATAATAAAATTATAAATATATTATCTTTTGTAGGTTAATGAAAGAGCTGGTGATTGAGTGTGCACAGATAGATTCAGAATGGGGACTGTTCACCAAAAAGATTAATTGGAAAGCACAGTCAGAGAGTTGAAATTTCAGCCTTCCACCTCCAAAGAGGGAACAGGGCTGGAAGTTAAATTAATCACTGATATCCAATGATGTGATCAATCACACCTACATAATGAAACTTTTTTGAGGAGGGGATTAAACACAAGGTGCTTATACTACAGGGCAACATCCTCAATTCTTTTTATTTTTTATTTTGAGACAGGGTCTTGCTACATTGCTGAAGGTCCTAAATTGTTAGAACTGGCCCAGGACTTGCACTCTTCCTGCCTCAGCCTCCTGATTCACTGGGATTATAGGCTGTGCCACGGTGTCTACCATATTGAAATTTTAAAACTTGACAGTGTGGCACCTCCCAGCTACTCAGGAGGTCACAGCAGGACAACTGCAAGTTCAAGACCAGCCTGCGGGCACTAGGTGGTGCGTGCTATAATCCCAGCAGCTCAGAAGGCTGAGGAGTTCAAAACCAGCCTCAGCAATGGCGAGGAGTTAAGCAAGTGAGACCCTGTCTTTAAATAAAATGCAAAATAGGGCTGGGGATGTGAGGCTCAGTGGTTGAGTGCCCCTGATGGATTGAACAATCCTGGGTACCAAAAAAAAAAACACCAGCCTGGGCAACTTAGTGAGACTCTGTCTCAAAATTAAAAATGAAAGGGTTTAGGATGCTGGGTGCAGTAGTGCAGCCTGTAATCCCAGCAACTCAGGAGGGAAGGCAGGACGATAGCAAATTCGAGGTTAGCACGCAATTTAGCAAGGCCCTGTCTCAGAATAAAAATAAAAAGGTGTGGGGATGTAGCTCAGTCGTAAAGTACCTCTGAGTTCAACTCCCAGTACAAAAAAAAAAAAAAAACAAGGGAAGGTGCTTAGGATATATCTCAATGGTTCAATCCCCAGTACCGAAAAAAAAAAACAAAACAAAAACAAAACCTCCCTAAAATCTCCTAAAGACAGTTCTCAGAGCTTCCAAGTTGATGAAGAGCACATTAAAATGCTGGGAGGGGTCATACCCAGAGAGGGTGTGGAAGTTCTAAACCCCCATTTCCTTCCATATCTGGCCTTATGCATCTCTTCCAATTGGCTGCCCCTAAATTTTATTGCTTTTTTGGTACTTGGGATTGAACCCAGGGCACTTTACCATTGAGCCACATCCCTACTCCTTTTTTTTTTTTTAACTTTTATTTTTATAGTTGTAGATGGACAGAATGCCTTTATTTTATGTGTTTATTTTTATGTGGTGCTAAGGATAGAACCCAGTGCATTACACATGCTAGGCAAGCGCTCTGCCACTGAGCTACAGCCCCAGCCTTATTTTTTACTTTGAGACAGTCTTTATTAAATTGCTGAGGCTGGCCTTGAATTTACCATTCTCCTGTCTCAGCTTCCTGAGTCACTGGGATTACAGGCCTACACCTCCTCACCCAGGAGTTGTATTCCTTTATAATAAACCAGTAAGCAAATTTCATGAGTTCTGTGAGCTATTCTAGCAAATTATCCAACCTGAGGAGGGGGTCATGGAAACCCATGATTTAGAGCCAGGAGTCAATCAGAGGTATAGCTGGACTGGGCACCATGGCACAGAGCTGTTATTCCAGCAACTTGGGAGGCTGAGGCAGGATCCCATGTTCAAAACCAGCTCAAAAACTGAGCAAGGCCCTAAGCAACTTAGCAAGGCCCTGTCTCTAAATAAAATATAAAAAAAAAAGGGCTGGGGATATGGCTCAGTGGTTATTCACTCCTGGGTTCAATCCAGGGTACCAAAAAAAAAGTATAGTTGGCAACCCGGGAGTTGTGCCTGTCTTCTGAAATAGAGGCAGTCTTCTGGGACTGATCCTTAAAGCCATGGGGTCTGCCCTAACTCTAGGTAAATGAGTGTCAGAATTTATTTGAATGGTAGGAAACCCAAATAGTGTTTGGAGAGTTGGAGAACTATTTGGTATAGAAACAAAATCCCACATATCTGGTGTCAGAACTATGAATAAAATAGCAGAGAAGTAGTATACCATTGTATGTATACCACATTTTATCTCTTCCATTGGTGGATATTTAGGTGGTTTCTAGTTTTTAGCTGGAAGAATTCTCATGCCACCATGAAAATTCACATGTAAATCTTTGTATAAATGGTTTTGTTTGTTGTGGGTTGGCCATTTGTATGTCTATAAAGAAATGTTTGTTCAAGTCCTTTCCTTGTTCTTAATTGGTTTGTCTTTTTGCTGTTGAGTTATAAGAATTCTTTACATATTTCTGGATACTAGAATTTCACCAGATATATGATTTGGAAATATTTTCTCCCATTCTGTAAGTTGTTTTACTTTCTTGATTATGTCCTTTGATGCACAAAACTTTTTATTTATTTTGTTGTGCTCTACTGGGGATTTAATTTAGGGACTCACACATACTAGGAAAGTGTTCTACCACTAAGCTATATTCCAATCCCAAAACTTTGTATTTTATTTGTTTATTTTTTGGTACTAAGAATTGAACCCAGGGGCGCTCCCATATCCCCAACCCTTTTTCATATTTTATTTAAAGACAGGGTCTCACTAAGTTGCTTAGTGCCTGGCTAAATTTCTGAGGCAGGCTTTGAACCCGCCATCCTCCTACCTCAGCCTCCAGAGCTGCTGGGATTACAGGCATGTACCACCATGCTAAAACTTTGTTTTGATGAAATCCAATTTATCTTTTTTCTTTCTTTTGCCATATCTAAGAATCCTTTGGCAACTTTCAAAGTCATTAAGATTTACTTTTATATTTTCTTCTAAGAATTTTACCTTTTAGCTCATTTATTTGTTTTACATGTGGTGTGAGATGGGAGGGTGGGTCTGACTTCATACTTTTGCATATGAATACCCAGTTGTCCCAGTCCCAGTTTTTGTTCTGTGATCCCAGGGATTGAACCCAGTGCTTTGCATATGCTAGGAAAGCATCCTACCACTAAGCTACATCTCCAGATTTTTATTTTGAAACAAGGTCTCATTAATTTGCTCAGACTGACCTCAAACTTTTGATCATCCTGCCTCAGCCTCCTCAATAGCTAGGATTACAAGGATGGGCCACTATGTATGGCACAGCACCATTTGTTAATGAGACTATTATTTTACCATTAAATGGTCCTGACACTACTGAAGAAAATCAGTTGGCCACAGACATGTGGGATAGTTTTTAAACTCTGAATTCTATTCTATCAGTCTATATCTAATCTTAATAACAGTATATTATTTTGAATTATGTAGTTTTATAGTAAATGGTTTTTGTTGTTGTTGGTACCGGGGAATGATCCCAGGGATGCCTTACCTTTTTATTTTTTTGAGACAAGTTCTCATTAAATTGCTCAAAGTCTTCATATATTGCTGAGATTGGCTTGAAACTTGCAATTTTCCTTCCTTAGCCTCCCAAGTAGCTGGGATTAGAGGTGTGCACCCCACACCCAACTGCATTGTTTTAAAACAAGTGCAAGCCTTCCAAATTTGTTCTTCTTTTTCAGTACTGTTTTAGCTATTTAGTGCTCCTTATAATTCCATATGAATTTAAGGATGGGCTTTACCATTTCTGCAAAAAAGGCCATTGGAATTTTGATAGGGATTTCAGTGAATCTATAGATTGTTTTAGATAGCATTTCCATTCTTAATAATATTAAGTCTTCCAATCCATGAACTTAAGACGTCTCTCTGTTTATTTAGGACTTCTTTAATCTATTTTAGCAACATTTTATAGTTTCCAGTGTATAAATCTTTTATGTCCTTGCTTAAATTTATTCCTAGTATTTTATTCTTCTGGATAGTATTGAAAATTAAATTATTTTCATCTCTTTTTCAAATTGTTCATGGCTGGTGTCATTCTGCTTTTGATTTTCATTTTTCTGATGACATTATCTTTTCATATGCTTATTAACTATTCAAGTATCTTTTTTTTTTTTTTTTGGTGGAAATACATCTTCGTTTGCATTTCCATGATTGGAGAGGGGAGCAGCCCCCTTTCTGTCCCTAACACCTTTCTTTTACCCTTCCTGTTTACTTTTAAAAGTACTTCAGGATTAACAACTGGATTCTGGAGCCAGCAGTCCAGGGTAAGATCTTAATTCTTACACATACTTATGTGGTCTTGAACATGTTTTGTAACTTTTCTTTCCATTCCCTCAAGTTTAAATAGAGGTGTTAGCCTGGTGGATGTGTGGCCACACATGCCAGTAATCCCAGTGACCTGTCGCTCAGCCCTCCAGCCCAACCACTGACTCCAGCCTCAACAGCAGCTACCTCAGGATCCTCCCACTGGCAGATGAGAGCAGGTCTTTCTCTCCATAAGCTTCTTAGGAGGAGGATTCCCTGGCAGCTTTCCTGGCCGTCTGAAGTATCTGTGTCATTGAGCCAGGCCGGGGAACACTAATCGCAAGACAGGCAAGCTTGGCAGGGAGAGGCTCATGCTGATAGGGGACAGAAAGACCTGAGGGTGGGAACATGAGGTTAAGGGAAGAATTCTATAAAACCCAGCCCACTGTGCTGACCCCCACATTCTTTCTCTTTTGAAAAGCAATTTACCTGTGGTACTGCCTGGCTTGAGTCAACAGGATATGTTACATTCTTCAGCAAACCACCTGATATCTGCAGAAGAAATGTAGGCATGAAATGTAGGCATGAAATGCCAACGATAAGAACACAAATTAGCTGAGCAAGGTGGTGCATGCCTATAATTCCAGTGGCTTGAGAGGCTGAGGCAGGAGAATCACAAGTTCAAAGCCAGACTCAGTAACTTAGCAAGACCGTGTCCCAAAATAAACATGTATTAAAAGGGCTGGGGATATGACTCACTGTTTTAGCACCCCTGGGTTTAATCCCTGGTACAAAAAAAAAAAAAAAAAAAAAAACACAAATTACACTGAAGGAGAGACCCTTACACCTGGAACTCGGGTAGATAAGGATAATTCCCCCTAACCATAAAATCTGTAAGAACAGGTTCCAGCAGGGTCAGCATGGGCCAAAGTCACTTAGAGTGGTAATGGCAGTAGGGACTTGAAAACCTGATGTCATCCTGCTGTCAGTCAAAAGTCAAGTGGTAGCAGGCTGGGGCTGTAGCTCAGTGGCAGAGCACTTGTCCACAAGAGTGAGGCACTGGGTTTGATCCTTAGCACCACATAAAATTAAACAAACCAAGAGGCCAGATTTACAGATAGGTAGTTAGTGTAGTTAGGTAAATCGGGTCTAATACCAAGTAAGATAAATAAAATGGAGGCCATTATAGAGAATGGAGTCCAGGAAACCAAAGCAGCACTTGTGGAAATTGAAATGTTAATGTCCCCAAGGCCCGGAACCCATTCTAAGGAACTGTTAATGAAACAGCTCCCAGCAAACAGGGAAATGCTAATCAAAAGCCACCCCAGACCCTTCCTGCCCAGATTAATCCTCCAGCCCACCTATCTCCCACCTTTTGGGGCCTTCCCACCTGCATTCTTTCACTGAAAGATAAAGGGAAACAAAGGACAGGAGTGTGGGAAAGCTGAAAGAAGACCTTAGTTATAAAAAAGGGAAGACCTCCCCCTTCCACGGGTTCCGCCTTTTGGGTCCCCTTCTTCCTCTGGAGAGAAGTCTTTTCTGCTGTCCTTTAATAAAGCTTCCACTTTCCACTCTAAACTTGCCTCGGCGTGCTTCTCTGGTATTATACTTCAGCATTCAGGGAAGCAAGCAGCGGTAACACATCTATGGCTACAAAAAAAAAAAAAAAAAAAAGCCAAGCAGCGCACCTGGGCAGGACTCTCTGGAAACCTCCCTGGGACCCTCAATAAAACTGGAGGGCAGAAACTCAGAAGGTCAAGCATTGTATGTTTTCTCTCATTTGTGGATGCCAGAGAGAAAAAAGAAAAAGAAAGGTGGGAAGCCATGCATGAAAAGCAAAGGAGATTAATAGAATGGGGGAAAAGGACAAAGGCGGGGTAGAAGGGAGGGAGGGAAGAAGTGCTGGGAAGGATATTAGCCAAATTATATAGTTATATTATACATGTACAAATATGTAACAACAAATCCCATCATTATATACAACTATAATGTACCAATTTTAAAAAATGTGGAGGAAAAAAACTGGAAGGCAGGAGAAGTGCACTGTCCTTCTCCTTTTCCCCATTCCTATCCCTGTTTTTTGTGTGATGCTAGGGACTGAACCCAGGGCCTGTGCATGCAAGGCAAACACTCTACCAACTGAGCTATATCGTCAGCCCCATTCCTATCCATTCTAATAAACTCATGCCTGTCACTCTAAGCAACATATCTGAAATCTTTCTGATTTGATCACAAGAACTGGGGTTTGAAGAAGGTCTCTGTGTTGCCTCAGTTTCCCAGCAGAACCCAGCCAAATACCCCATGTGTCCCTCCTCACCTACCTGGCTGCTGTGCAGTCACAGGTACCAGGTTCTGACTGGATGCCAGCACGGAGGCAGCCTCCTCCTAAGAACTACTCTGAAGTCGGACACCAGGTCTTATCACAGCTCCACTTAAGATCTAACCAGCTACTCAGGAGGCTGATGCAGAGGATCACAAGTTCCATGACAGTCAGGGCAACTCTGTGAGACCCTGTCTCAAAAAATTTTTTAAAAAGGCTCAGGGATGTAGTACAGTGGTAAAGCACTTGCCTAAAATGCATGAGGCCCTGGGTTCAATCCCCACTATCACCAAAGGAAAAGAAAAAAAGATCTGGGTGAAGGCACTTAAAAATAATGACCAAAGCTAATCTTTTTTTCTTATGGTACTGGCCATTGAACCCAGGGGCACTAAGTCACAGATCCAGCCCTTTTGCTTTTTTATTTTGAGAGAGTCTCGCTAAATTGCTTAGGGCCTTGCTAAATTGCTGAGGCTGGTCTTGAACTTGCGATCTTCCTGCCCCAGTTTCCCAGATTGCTGGGATTACAAGAATGTGCCACCACAGCCAGCTTATTTTCTTTCTTTTGGGACAGGGTCTCACTACATTGCTTAGGGTCTTGCTAAATTGCTGGCTTTGAAGTTGTGATCCTACTGCTTCAATCTACTAAATCACTGGGATTACAGATGTTTGGCACTACACCCAGCCAAGTTTATTTTCCAACCTATAAAACACTGATTAAATGTGACAATGAGCTGGTTAGGCACACACCTGTAATCCCAGTGGCTCGGAAGGCTGAGGCAGGAGGATTTCGAGTTCAAATCCAGCCTCAGCAACAGTGAGGTGCTAAGCAAGTCAGTGAGACTCCGTCTTTAAATAAAATACAAAATAGGGCTGGGGATGTGGCTTAGTGGTTGAGTACCCCCGAGTTCAACCCCCGATACTAAAGAAAAACTGTGACAATTAAGTATGTTTCAAGCATTCCACAAGCAGAATTAGCCATCACTGATTCATATTCAGTCATTCAACAATTGTTTACTATGCCACAATGGGATTATCAAGAAGGCAGATAAGTCCATATCAATAAGAAGTCACCAAATAGTAGCAAAACCAGGCAAGCAAAAGCAAAAGGCAATGGAAAGGTTTTGTAGGGTTAGGAAACAAAAGTTGCACCCAACCCAGTCTTGGTAAGGAGGGGTTGGTACCATTAGCAAGAGATTTAGTTCCTCTCTCTTTATTTCTATAGAGTATATAATTTGGTTGAGAAGGCAAGCATAGGAATACAATAAGAAAAATGCATGGAAATATCAGAGACCATCTTATTGTGCATCACATGGTATTCCCACCCCCACCCGAAAAAAAAAGTCTCATTTTACCAATTCCAGTTTTCAATACTCCCCATGAGAAGGGCCTAAATGCCCAGTGCAGGGCAACTGGAGTACGTGTCCTATTTTTTAGGTCAGAAAACAGCCTGGGATCCTTAAGCTTCATAGAGCTTTCAGAGGCTCAAAGTACCCTCACCCAGAAAAGAACAAAAGGCCAGCCTAAGCAGAAGCCTGGGGTTCTTGCAAATGCTGTAGCAGCCTGCAGAAGCTCCACACCTCCTCTCAGGCCTTCCCCTTCAGTTAGACTCAGTTATAAATAGCTAACTGGTTTCCAGCTGGGGATCTCCCAGCCCTGTAAGGAGCAAGCACCGCCTCCTCACCCTGAACTGCCCTCAGCTTGGAGCAGGAAAGGGCAGTGGCCAGCAGGGGGCGGAAGGCAGGAGTAGGAGAGGGGGTGGAAAGGAACCCCTTTGAGCCTGGTCTCTTACCCACAATCCTAAACAGGAGCCCGGCAGAGAAGGCTTGGGGAGCTACAGTCTAGGTACAAAACAAAGCAAGAGGTACCATAGATGGTGGTTGCCGAAGCCTGAAACCGGGTCTTATCTGAAATCCAATTCCTAGACCTTTGAGATCTTCTCTGAGGGAGCTGGGGAGACACATGAAACTCCTTAACTTTGGTGCTGTAGTTATAGCACGCATGTGTGTGTGCACACTTGCAAACTAGTACAAACTACAAGCCTGTGAGTCATTTTTATTCTGGATCAAATCCAGAGGCTACCTGGCACTAGAAGCCCCTGCTCTGGCATATTCCCCCTACCCAGCCCCAAGCTCTGCTTTTTTTTCTGGTTCTCACCTGAGGCAGAAAAATCAGGAGCCACAGGTTGGTCCAGATGGCAATATGGGAGCTGGCTTGTCTCCTCCCAGTAGAGTCTGGACTTTGATGATAGTTGTGTTGTTGGTCTCTGCTGAAATCTGGTCCCTCTGACCTTTGCTCATGGCAGATCACAGTAACCACGCGGCTGGCCAAATTTAAGGCTTTGTAGGGAGCACCTGTGGGGGCTTGCAGGCTCTTACAGAGGTGGATAGTCAGAGCTGTCAGGGTGAACAAGACAGGCCCTCTGAGTGGTGAGGGCACCTAGTGGGCACTACCCCACCCCACTCCCAACATCCCCTACAGAGCCAAACTACTCTTGTAGGGTCCTGGGGCTTGTGAACCCCAGAGCACAGGGAGCCATGACCAGAGATCCTGGAGACCAGACCTAAAGTGAAGAACCTCTATCCAAGGTGAAAACAGTCTGTAGAGGCCTGTTAACAGGGTCCTCTTCCTCTTCAAGCTTACTCATTTTCTGAGGTAAGAACAAGTTCAAAGATGAGTAAGACCAAATCACAGTTGCAATAAACAAATGATGTGTGACACTGGGAAGTACCTAGGTCTGAGGACCTATAGAGTGGGGTGGGAAGGATTTCCACAAGGCCAACTGAATCAAGTAGAGGATGGGTAGCAGCAGCATTCGTTTCACTAGAATGGTGCGGGAAGGGCATTCCAGCAGAGGGAACAGCTTGATTAAAGGCTGGGGGGAGTGAAAAAACGGAAAGAAAAGGAGAGAGAAATAGAAGCAATTAGATATTACCAAAGACCAACCTGCCCAATGCAAGGGGTGGAGGGTAAATCGAGGGCCAGCAGGCTGTGACACCACGCTTGGAGTGTGGGCTTCAGGTCTTGGGCTTCTGGCCGCTTAAGGATCTCCAACAAGGATGTGCTGCGTTCAGGGGTGGGGACAAACAGGAAAACGATAGAGGACAGTGGGAGCCTCTGACCTTAGCGGGGTGGAGGAAGGCGCCTCCCAAGGGACTCCCAAGTCGGCCTGTCCAGCGTTTTCCTCAGCTGGGCCCGGACGGCGACGGGGCGAGGCCGCGCGTTCCGGACCCTCCGGCCGGCCGCCCCCTCCTTGGCTGGGTCCCTTGGCCTCGGGCTCCCGGGCGCGGGCGGCCCCCGAGGGCTGGGCTCCTAGCCCGCGGCCGCCCGCGGGCCGCCAGCCAGACGCGCCGGGAAGGAAACGCCTTGTATGGGCCTGGGGCTGGAAGGAAGCGCCTTGTAGGGCTCGGGGAGGAAGCACCATACATGGCGCGGGGCGGCCGGGGCGGGCCGGGGGCGGGGATCCCGCCAGATAGGGAGGTGCTTCCGCCGCCGCAGACCTCTGAGCCCGCGCTGCGGCCAGAGCCCGGGACACCAGCCCGGCGGGGTTGCGCGCACTGCAGACCGGCCCTCCGAGGCCCCGCGCTGCCCTGACGTTTAGGAAGCCTACCGGGAACCTCGCTCCGCCTCGCAGTCGCTGTGTTACCTTGGGCGAGAGCTTTCGTCTCTGAGCGGCCCCTACTATGCGGAGGGTGGTGGGGATAAAATGAGAAGATGCCGCAGGACCACCCCCTTAGAAGGACATGGTCCGCGGTGGCCACTGGGTTATTGGAAGCTGTGGACGAGGACAGTCTGCCCAGACACCAGCTGTCTGAATCTCTTTAGCCTTTTTCCAACTAACTGGGCCTCTGAGAAGCCTAAATGAATGGGGAAACATGGAGCCGACTGCTTCGAAAAAGATCTTTCCAGAAGAAAATAAGGCACCCTTAAGGTTTGGAGTTTTTTGGGGTTCACACAAGAAGTTCCAATCCCAGCTTCTCCGCTTACCAGTGGATTGACTCTGGAAGAGGTGCTTATGTCCTCCGAACCTCCAAGTCCTCAGTTAAATGGGGGAAACAATGCTTGTTTTGCAAGTCTGTTAGAATCAAACGAAACGGAGTGTGTGCACTTGTGTAAAATGCCTAACCTGGAAATGCAGGCTTGTGCACATGGCCGCTCTTCTGGGAGCTTTGCCCTCCCTGGGTGAGCCTGTCCTTCTAGAACTTTTTTTTTTTTCTTTCTTTCTTTCTTTTGATTTGGGAGATTGAACCCAGGGCCTCCAGCAAGCTAGACATGCTGTTCCACCACTGAGCCACACCCCCAGGTCTTGGGGACCTTATTGCCAAGATTTTAATGCCTTTACCAGAGCATGCCTCTTTTTCTCAGTTCAGCCACTGCTCTACCTACCTATTGTCCCTACCCTTGTCTACTTCCTCTAAAGCATAGGTGACCTCCTGTATGGTCTGAAAAGGGCAAATAGAACCTGGAAGAAGTTGAAGTTCCCATCACAGCCAGAACCTATATCTAGGACAGCATCCCTTCCCACACCTGCTGTCAGTACCACACCCACACATTTCACCAGAAGATGGATATCAATCTCAGAAAAGCATTTCCTGATTCTCCCTCATTGACTCTGCCCTGCCCTCATCAGACCTGCCTGTCCCAAGTCCCACTGAAACCTAACCTGAATCTCCCTTGCCCTGTCCTGCTGAGCAGCAGTTAGCAGCCCCTAATAGGCTCCAAACAAGTTTGTGGATACACAATAGATGCCTCTCACCCATGGCCTGTTTCCCTTCATCCCTGTAGGGCAAGGAAGCTGTGGTTGGCATGGTAACCTTCCCTGTTAAAGTCGAAGCCCTCAAGGATGCTTTTCAATTCCAGCATGGACACAGCTCCCCAACACACACATACACACCACAGGGTGACATGGTAACTGCGTCATTGAGTCCTCCCCAGAACAGAAATGTGGCTCTGGTACCAGAAAGGAAGGACTGGTTCCTGAAGGGCAGCCAAGGGCTCAAGGGAGATGCAGATTGGATCGCCTGCCCTGGGTGTCAATACCCAGAGAAACTAATTCTGAGACAGAATATCAGGAGCCTCTGGGGATCCCATGGTTAATGATAGAAACATTTTCGCTAAAATCAGGCACCCACTCAATGCCTCAGTGCCTCATCTTATAGAATAAGCTGATAAATCACAAAACCTACAGAATCCAGTGATTTCCTTTTGCTTCAGCCTCTCTGTGGAATAAATGAACACTTATTAACCATCGCCCATATTCCAGTTTCCTATAGTTATTTCAACTAATTCTCCCCCACAGTTTTATGAGAAAGGTTTTTGACACTCGTTTTCTAAATTGGGAAGTTAGAATTTGAGCAAAGACACTAAACAACTTGAGAGCAAAAATCACATGGCCATGAAGTGATAACACCAGGATTGGGATTAAAGTCTTGAGACACCAGGTACCAAATCCTTTCCATGATGTCCTGTGCTCTTTTGTATTTTCTTCTGTGCTACTGAGGAAGTAATCCTTCACCAAGGCATCGCCCTTCTAGGGAGTGCTCAGAAAGGAAAGGTGCCATCAGCATCTGTCTCTGTGCCCACATGGTCCTGCATGTCCCTGCCTAGCTCTGCAGCAGCCCAGCAGCCTCAATCCAGAGGCTTCTCCCTGCCAGCTGCCTCATCTCCGTCATGGAGTTTCCCCAGCAGAGGGCAAGCCGAGGAAAAGTGGTTCCCAGCTGCCAGCTTCATCTAGGCAAAATCACATTAGAGCCAGCCCGGCTTCCCTCAGTCCCTCCAGAGCGAGCAGTCAGCTCCCCCGCAAAAGGGAGGGGAGAGAGACACAGATAAAAAGAGGAAACTTCCATTTCGTTCTCTCCCTGGCTGGGAAGCCCTTGGCTTTGAGCTGCCATGTTACAGGTAGGGAAAATTAATACTGATCCTCTAGGGATTACAGAAAATGCTAAAATGAACCCTTGGGCAGAGCTTGGCCCAAAAGAAACACTAATAAGAAAACCCTGGGTTGGAATGCAGAGAGGCAGATCTCAGGGAGGAGAGAGACTTCAGGATCTCTTCTCTCTCTACATGATTTTTTTTTTTTGTACCTGCTACTGAACACAAGAGTGCTTAAACACTGTGTATTAAAAACATTTTTAATATTTCATTTAGAGACAGGGCCTCACTAAGTTGCTGAGGCTGGCTTTGAACTCATGATCCTTCTGCCTCAGCCTCCCAAACTGCAGGGATTACAGGAGTGTGCCACCGTCCCCAGCTTCCTACATGATTTTTTCTAGATGTCATTCTTCTATCAGTGAGTCTTCCTTCAAAAAGATAAGAAGCGTCATTTCCTGGCAGCTGGAAAACTTTAAGGAGGTAAGCAGTAGGAGGAGGAAACTCGCAAGCTGTGACCTTAAAAAAAAAAAAAAAACAGGGAGGGGGTCAATAATTCATAGTGTGTCAACTACTCTTCATTTATTATTTCATTTAATCCCCATCCCTCAGATAAATCCTAATCCCCAGTCAAGCCTCTGTTCCTCTGAACCATCCCCAACCTTGTTACCTTGGGCGAGAGCTTTCGTCTCTGAGCGGCCCCTACTATGCGGAGGGTGGTGGGGATAAAATGAGAAGATGCCACAGGACCACCTCCTTAGAAGGACATGGTCTGCGGTGGCTACTGGGTTATTGGAAGCTGTGGACGAGGACAGTCTGCCCAGACACCAGCTGTCTGAATCTCTTTAGCCTTTTTCCAACTAACTGGGCCTCTGAGAAGCCTAAATGAATGGGGAAACATTTCCTGTTTTAAAGAAAAGTAAGGTTTATAGGTTCCTTAATACTAATAACTCAATTAATGAGAGTGACTGGGGATCCTATAGACATTGTTTCATTTATCCTCACAGCAAACCAATGATATGAACACATATGCACACTTTCTATGGATAAAAACTGAGGCTCAGTGGTAGAACACTCGTCTAGCATGTATAAGACCCTGAGTTTGATCCCCAGTACTGCAAAATAGAAAACAAAAGGATGAAACAAAACTAAGGTTCAGTGACATCAGGAACTTGCCTATAATCAGTAAGTATGTAAGAGCAGAATGAAGGATTAGAGTTTAGATCTGTGTGAGCACTTGCAGTTTAACCACTTTGTCTTGCGTCTCCTGACTCACCAGGGCTTCTTCACTCCTGTGGGGGCTCCTATTCAGAAAGACTGAGATCACAAAAACCTGCCCACACTTCATTTTCCTTGTGCTCAGCACACAGATTTAAAAAAAAAAACAAAAAAAAAAACTGTCCAGTGTCCATTTGGCTTAATTCAAGACTCACCACCAGAGTGCTTATAGGATCAGGATATATAGGCATGGATGGGTGATATGGGGCCCTGGGTCTGGGTCTTTCTTAGAACTCAATGTCAGTGGCCTCCCATTCTAATCGCAGACTCCTGAGGCAGGAGGCCTTGATACAGTTCCACTATCCTTCCCAAGCCTTGAGATTTTCCTGAGGGATGCCAAGGTGTTGAAATTGAACAAACCTCCAGAGGTCTCAGACCCAGGGAGATCTTTCTTGAGGACAGGATGGAGAGCCCAGCAGATCTAGTCCAGGAGATGGGAGAGCTGTGCTCCTCTCTCCCTGAAGGCCTTTGGTAGCTTGATTCCAGAGCCCTTCTCAGAGCTCCTCTGCACTGGTACAGGAGCATGACTCCATTGCTCCCACCCCCGCAGCAGGCCTGTGGGGGTGAGAAACACTTCAAATCCTGAGTCACAGGAAAGGTTCCACTCCACTTTCCCTGGAACAGAGAGTCAAGGATGCAGCAGTCTCTATGGAGAGGAAAGGAAAGTGGAAAGTGAGAAAGAATAGTGCTCACTTCCTTCCCTACCATCTCTTTTATTTATTTTTAAAACATCTTATTTATTTTTTATTCCACCATATGTGATGCATGTTCATTGCAGACAATACATGTGATGGAAATAAAATTTTTAAGTGTGAGTGTTACTTTCTTACCCAACCACAGAAGGTTTCCAGCTTAGAATTCAGACCCACTCCCCAGCTGCAATGCTTGGCCTTTACCAGCTCTTTTGTAATGTAGATTTGAAAATAGGGTGCTAGGGTGCTAGTTTGTGAGAAAAAAACAAGATGTGAGCCTAATAGGCCAGAAGGAAGGAGAGTTTGGGCAGAGAAGTTATATTGATCTATATAGTAAAGAACAGGGAAGGGGAAGGGAATAAGGAGAGAGAGAGGTAAGCCAGGAAAGAAAAGAGGATGTTTAAAAGTATTGCTGTGGGGCATTAAGTGGACACCTGTTCAGAATAACTTTTCATTTTCTCACTCCAGAATCATAATTCTTTCTTTTCAACAATATGGAGAACTTTAACCATGTAGACACTCAAAATTTTATT